CTGATTGAAAAGGACAGATACAGCAATTAAAATTGGTAGTCACAACTACTGTACATTAGTTTAAAGAAATGACTCCTTATAGTAGTTTTGTAGACTGACTTTCTAGTTTATCTTTATCAATGAAAGGGGACAGCAAGCTGTGTGTGTGTTTGCACTGTATGTCTGTTTGTTAGCAAAATATCTCACAAAAAACTAGATAAATATTAATGACATTTGCAGAAAGTAAGCATTGGATGCACATCTACGATTAAATATTTAGAGGCACCCAGTTCAAGATAGTTGCCATAGCCGACTGACTTTAGACAACAAAAGAATGCTGTAACTCAGGTAGCTTCTCAGCTAATGACCCAGCTGCAGATTGGAGTGACTGCACAACATCACTGCAGGAGCCCGTCCTCCTCGCGCTGATGAGCCCCCGACTGGCTGACGAGTTAAACAGCTTCTTCTGCAGGTTTGAAAACCAACCATTCAGACCTTCAGCCCATTCATCCACACCTCACACAAAGGACTACCCACACCCCCAACTGACAACTCTACAACCTCCTCTCCTCTCCACCCCCTGACCCCCTGCCTGCACTAAAAATCAATAGCTATGTTTAAATGGACATAAGTAATCGGATTAAACGGCCATTCAGAATAAAAATGCGTCATGTAAACACCCCGTTCTGATTATTTTTTGTTGATTCAGCTCGATCTGAATGAGACGGGTGGTTTATGTCGCTTCATAATCCGAACGATGTGCATGTAAACACTTAACTGTTAATTTTATTCCGATTGTGGAAAACTGACCTGACTGTGCATGTGCGACTTGTCAACCTCACGTATTTCCACCTGGCTAGATATGGCGGGGAAGCAAAACTGGTCGGTGAATGACACAATATTCCTACTAGAAATTTTGAAAGAGCTCAAAATGATGTATATTTGTAGCCCAATCAGGGAGTGCAGTAATGTCTCCACGTCATTAAAACCTAGTGCAGGTCCATTTGGGGTGCTCAGGTTTAATGTTCATCGCAGAAGTAGAACTTCTGTGTTTTTTAAGGAACGTTAACCACTCTGTGCATGTCAGTACTTCTATTCTGAATAAAAGCCTGCTGCATGTAAATGCTCATCCTGAACGGATTGTGCCCATGTAAATGATACATTTGGATTATTTTATCCAAATACATTTCAATCCGGTCAAAGAATTTTGTTCATGTAAACATAACTACTGAAGAAGATGTAAATAGGCTTGCCAACAGGTTGATCCACAATGAGAATGTGCTGCTTATAAAACTGAGTTTGTTGCAGCTCCTCAGACTGAATAAGTCTTTTGGATAAAAGATGAAACTTTTCAACAAAGAAGAATCCATCCAGATGATCTGGCTATGTTTTTTTAGATCTTTCTACCTGGATTATTGAGCATGCATCAGGATATGTAAATAGACTCTTTCAGCATTAGAAGACCAGCACCTGATGATATTTCCCCTTTCTGGCTGAAATCTTGTGCTGACCAACTGGCCCCCATCTTCACTCAGATCTTCAATAAGTTTCTGGAGCTGTGAGAAGTTCCCTCTTGCTTCAAGCATCCCACCATCATTCTGGTCTTCAAGTAACACACCATAACAGGATTAAATATCTACAGACCTGTTGCTCTGACATCTGTGTGGACATGAAATCCTTTGAGCAACTTGTGTTGAAACATCTGAAGGACATCACAGGTCCTCTGCTGGACCACCTGCAGTTTGCTTACAGAGCAAACAGGTCTGCCGATGATGCAATCAATCTGGAACTACTTCCTGCGCCACCTCAACCACCCAGGAACGTACGTCAGGATCCTATTTGTGAACTTCAGCTTGGCCTTCGACACCATTAACCCAGACATCGTCTGTCAGAAGCTCACCCAGCTCACCTCCACCCGTCAGTGAATCACCAGCTTCCTGACCAACCCACAGCAGCAGGTGAGGTTGGGAAGCATCTTCTCCCACACAAGAACCATCAGCACCGGGGCCCCCCAGGGTCGTGTTCTCTCCCCACTCCTCTTCTCTGTACACAAACGACTGCACTTCAATCTGTGAAACTCCTGAAGTTTGCAGATGGCACCACTGTTATTCATCTGAAACAGGACATTGATGAGTCTGCATACAGACAGGAGGTGGATCCACTGGTCCACTGGTGCGGTCAGAACCACCTGGAGCTTAACCTGCTCAAGACTGTGGAGATGACAGTGGACTTTCAGAGAAAGTCACACACACACACACACACACACACACACACACACACACACACACACACACACACACACAC